CGAGGTCAGTACAGCTCACTGATTGGGACAAATTATAACAAATCAAAGGTCAGTACAGGTCACAATTGGGATAGATGTATAACAGGTTCAAGGTCAGTACAGGTCATAGATTGGGAGATTATAACAAATCGAAGGTCAGTACAGGTTACAGATTGGGACAGATTATAACAGGTTCAAAGTCAGTACAGGTCACATTGGGATAAGTTATAACAAATCGAAGGTCAGTACAGGTCATAGATTGAGGGATTATAACAAATCGAAGGTCAGTACAGATTACAGATTGGGACAGATTATTACAGGTTCAAGGTCAGTACAGGCCATAGATTGGGGGATTATAACAAATTCAAGGTCAGCACAGGTCACAGACTGGAATAGACGTACAACTGATCGTCCCTTCACTGTTTTAAGGCTGTTTATTTTAGGATTCTGTACACTCCCTCCACTAACCCTAATATGGCCACTTATCCTAACACTAATTGGCATGTACTGACTTATTCTAGACACTAATAAACCATGAATATTAAATTAGCTACTAATACTAACCCACTCATAATAAACTAGCTGTTTTAATCCAAAAAAACTGAAATAGGCAGTAATCTATTACTCCTAAACTACAAACCCTAAACTTGATCCAAGGAGATATCGGACTGCCATTCTGGGGTCAAGAACTAGTTTTTCCTAGTTTGTTGCAAAATTGGAAAGTGCTTCAAACGGGATATTTTGCCATTTGTTGGACCAACAGCAAAACCAAAAGTGCAAAAAGCTGAACTTGATAAACGTCTCATTCTGAACATTAAGCACTAAACCTAGATTAGTCACTAACCCTAAACCTAAAATACTAATACTAACCATAACGCTAACAATAACTCCAGACCGTAAGCTTGTTTGAGCAGGGTCCTAATAAACCTAACATTCCTGTAACATTTTGTAACTGTCTCATATATTGTTAAATGTCCCCCTTTTATAATATTGTACAGCCAGGTGGAAAAAGTTGGCGCTATATAAATGCGAAAAATATTTACATTCAGCGCTAGGCTATATGTGTGTTATTATATACTCAGTTTTGTGCTATTTATATATCACTGGCATTTATACAGCACCTACATATAAACTGGGGTTTATACATAGTGCTGTAAAATTGGGAAAAATAAACATTACAATCTAACTAAATATATATATATAAAGGGTAAAGAGAGCCCTGCCGTGAGTTTATAATCTAACCAAATTAATACAAAGGTTAAGGAGAGCCCTGTCGTGAGCTGCGATGCAGCCATTTTATATAAAGCGCTTAGTTACATAGCCCGTGAGCTTACAATCTAATCAAACGAATACAAAGGGTAAGGAGAGCCCTGCTGTGAGCTGTGATCCAGCCATTTTATACAAATTGCTTAGTAAGATGGCCCGTGAGCTTACAATCTAATCAAACCAATACAAAGGGTAAGGAGAGCCCTGCTGTGAGCTGAGATCCAGCCATTCTACACAAAGTGCTTAGTTATATAGCCTGTGATCTTACAATCTAACCAAACCCATACAAAGGGCAAGGAGAGCCCCTCCGTGAGCTGCAATCCAGCCATTCTACACAAAGTGCTTAGTTATATAGCCTGTGAGCTTACAATCTAACCAAACCGTTACAAAGGGTTTGCGGGTTAGTGCTCAGTGACAATGAGGAATCTCAGTATTGCCGGTTAGCTGGGTTTGTGAATCAAGGCCTAGGGTACAGGGATGGAGATAAGACACTGTTATATATAAGTATTTACAGCTAGGAGGGGCAAACGATGGACAGAGAGGGGTTGGGGAGAGCAAACGTGCTGTACCAACCAGATTCTATCACCCCTAAATATTAATGTCTTTATTACATGGCATATTGGTGGGGTACATTCACTGACAATACCAATAATAATGTTACACTGGCACACACCAGCTATAAATGGGAACATTTTATACTTAACAGTAGTAAAAGTAGTATTATTGTATACTGGGTTCTGTGCTCAGTGTTAGTGTATACTCAGTGCTGTGCTCAGTGTTAGTGTATGTAACGGATCACCTGGCACCCCGACTGGGTACCTCTGTTGAAGGATGCTCCGAGCGCTTCCTGAGGACTCCAAGCACTGCAGCAGACACCACAACCACCGAACCGGAGAAGCATACGAATGCTCTCAAGCATATGAATGGGCAGACTAGATGGGCCGAATGGTTCTTATCTGCCGTCACATTCTATGTAAGCAGCTGAACAGGAAAAGCATACAATCAACTTATACTCCTGGCAATCAGCATACAATCCAATTCCCCCAATAACGAGACGACGCTTCGTTTTGAGGTCAAGAAGAACTGACTGTACTGGCACATACAGCCTCTTTTATTCCCAATCCACAAACTTAGTACTGCCCACAGGGTTTTACAGAACAACCAATAACACACGTACATTACAGAAAACACTCCCAGCAATTATACACAACCAGGGCCGTCTTTAACGCGGGGCAAACGGGGCAGCTGCCCCGGGCCCAGTTTCTCTTGGGGGGCCCGAGGCACCTGCCCCGTGGGCCCCGCTGTCACCGGGCGGGCGGGTGGCCGGTCGGGCAGGAAGGCGGGCGCGCGAGGGAGCACTCAGTGCTTCCTCTTCAGCTCCCTCGCGCACCGCACTGATACCGGAGCCGGAAGATGACGTCATCTTCCGGCGCCGGCATCCCTACGCGGCGCGCGAGGGAGCTGAAGAGGAAGCACTGAGTGCTCCCTCGCGCGCCCGCCTGCCTGCCCGACCGGCCACCCGCCCAGGAGCCCCACTGGACCCCAGGGAATCCCCCCAGCACTCCAAAAGGTAAGGAGGCTGGGGGATTATATTTTTTTTAAAAAAATGTGTGTTTGTGTGTATGTGTGTGTTAGTGTATGTGTTTGTGTGTATTTGTGTGTTAGTGTATGTGTGTGTTAGTGTGTCTGTTTGTGTGTTAGTGTATCTATGTGTTAGTGTATGTGTGTGTTAGTGTATGTGTGTGTGTCAGCATGTCTGTGTGTGTGTCAGTATGTCTGTGTGTGTGTGTCAGTATGTCTGTCTGTGTGTCAGTATATATGTGTGTGTATATCTATATCTGTGTGTGTCAGTATGTGTATGTGTCAGTATGTCTGTCAGTGCGTCAGTATGTCTGTTAGTGCATGTGTATGCATGTGTCAGTATATCTGTCTGTGTGCCAGTATGTCTGTGTGTGTGTGTGTCAGTATATCAGTCTGTGTGTGTCAGTGTATGTGCCTGTGTGTGTGTGTCAGTATTTCTCAGTGTATGTGGGTGTCAGTATATCTGTCAGTGTGTGGGTGTCAGTATTTCTGTCAGTGTATGTGTGTCAGTATGTTGATCAGTGTATGTGTCTGTGTGTGTGTGTGTCAGTATGTCGGTATATGTGTCTGTGTGTCAGTATGTCTGTATATGTGCCTGTGTCAGTATGTCTGTCAGTACGTCTACCAGTGTATGTGTCTGTGTGTGTGTCAATATATGTACCTGTGTCAGTGTGTCTGTCAGTGTATGTGCCTGTTTATCTGTATGTAGTCAGTGTATGTATCTGTGTATCTGCTTGTGCGTCAGAGTGTGTACCTGTGCATCTGAGCCGCAACTTTAAATACAAATACACCCCTCCATTCAAACTTCAACACTACATATAAAACACACTCCTGCATTGAAACGTCAACACTACATACAAGCACACTCCTACATTCAAAAACAAACACTACACATAAATGCACAGTTGCATTCAAACTCTAGTACCACATACAAACACATTCACACAAACATACTCCATACAAACACATGCTTACATTCAAACATACTAACATGGCTCAGTGCTAAATACAACCCTGCAAGCATGGGAAATTGGTAGAGTCCTAGCTGTCAAAGCATTGTTGGAGTTGCACGACAGATGGGGTTCTACCTTTAGTCCAACCTTGCAATTGGGGGTCCCAATAAAATTCATTCTACTTTAGTATCGCCACTGCGTTGGGATGGATGCCGGGATTGCATACCAGGGAGTGAGGGGCGAGAGCGGCAGGGCACAGGGGGCCCAAGCAAACACTTGCCCAGGGTCCATTCGTTATTAAAGACGGCCCTGTACACAACATTCTCTCCTCTGCCTGTGATCTAATTATGGTACACAATGGGTTAACATAATTATCACAAGCAGGAAAAATACAGTTTTTATACATGTGCTATAACTTTAAAAATATATGTCCTATCTTCATAAAAATTACATATTCAGAATCAGCACACTTTAAACATAAACACTCATCAGACAAATCCATCCAGTAGATAAAAAGTTAGCTCAGAGTCCTTTATGACAGACACATTTTCCTGCCCAAAACAGTTCCATAGATTTGGGCTGTGCGGTCGGTCTATTTTACACAGAATGCACGAGGCCGTTCGTGCATTTAGCTTAGTATAGGAGTGAGTTCAAACTGCCGAACGGGACTTAGTCTCTGCAGCTGAAAACTGAGTGTAGGAGAAGGTAAGGGTCAGCGGTGTTCGATGAAATGTGTAGCTGATTTCAGTTCAATGGATTTGGCTACACATACCGCTGACCTCGTTCGAATGAACATAGATGGCCGCTGCCACGTGTTCGTTTGTCGAATGGCGGCCACTTCGACTGCATCCGAAGTGACAATTTAAAGTTGCAGAACTGCTCCAATACAATTTAAAGGGGCAGCAGGTCTTTTAAAATCCAATCTGCTAAAATAATCTTTAACAGGCAATATCTTCCAAGGGCCATAGTCTTAAAGGGGCATTGTTCCCAAAATTCACAGTATGTCCCCAGATGGTTCTTAAAGGGCCAGCAGCAGCATAATAAAATACTATATGCCCAAATACTGTATTTAAAGGGCCAAATCTCCCAGGGGCCAGAGTCAGCAGGCAGGAGGCGGGCAAACAGGCTTCTTCAATGCCCAGTGGTGAGGTTGGTTTTGCCACCGTGTATACTCAGGGTTAGTGTATACTCAGTGTTCTACTCTGTGTTAGTGTATACTCAGTGTTCTACTCTGTGTTAGTGTACACTCAGTGTTAGTGTATACTCCATGTTAGTGAATACTCAGTGTTAGTGTATACTCAGTGTTAGTGTATTCAATGTGTTATACTCAGTGTTAGTGTATACTCTGTGTTATACTCTGTGTTAATGTATGCTCAGTGTTAGTGTACACTCGGTGTTAGTGTACACTCGGTGTTATACTCAGTGTTAGTGTACACTCAGTGTTATTGTATACTCAGTGTTAGTGTGCGTAATGGTGTCACTGCGGCACAGCGTCACTGCGGGCGTCACGGTCTCACTGCGGCACGGCGTCACTGCGTGCATCATGGTGTCACTGCGTCACGGTGTCACTGCGGCACGGCGTCACTGCGTGCATCATGGTGTCACGGCGTCACTGCGTGCGTCACAGCATCATGGTGTCACGGTGTCTCGGTGTCACTGCGTGCGTCACAGCGTCATTGCGTGCATCACAGCGTCTCGTGTCACGGCGTCACTGTGTGCATCACGGTGTCTCGGCGTCATTGCGTGCATCACAGCGTCTCGGTGTCACGGCGTCACTGCGTGCATCACGGTGTCTCTGCATCACTGCGTGCGTCACAGCGTCTCGGTGTCACTGCGGCACGGCGTCACTGCGTGGATCACGGTGTCTCGGCGTCACTGCGTGCGTCACAGCGTCTCGGTGTCACTGCAGCACGGCGTCTCTGTGTCAGGGCGTCACTGCGTGCATCACGGTGTCTTGGCGTCACTGCGTGCGTCACTGCGTCTCGGTGTCACTGCGGCACGGCGTCTCGGTGTCAGGGCGTCACTGCGTGCATCACGGTGTCTTGGCGTCACTGCGTGCGTCACAGGATCTCGGTGTCACGGTGTCACTGCGTGCATCACGGTGTCTCGGTGTCACTGCGGCACGGCGTCACTGCGTGCATCACGGTGTCTCGGCGTCACTGCGTGCGTCACAGCGTCTCGGTGGCACGGTGGGTGTGTCGGTGTCTCGGTGGGTGTCACGGTGTCTCGGCGTGCGTCGGTGTGTTGGCGTGCGTCTCAGTGTCTCGGTGGGTGTCTCGGTGTGTTGGCATGCGTCTCGGTGGGTGTCACGGTGTGTTGGCGTTTCGGTGTGTCGGTGTGTCGGCGTCTCGGTGGGTGTCACGGTGTCTCGGCGTGCGTCGGTGTGTTGGCGTGCGTCTCAGTGTCTTGGTGTGTTGGCGTTTCGGTGTCTCGGCGTGCGTTGGTGTGTCGGCGTCTCGGTGGGTGTCACTGTGTGTCCGCGTCTCGGTGGGTGTCACGGTGTGTCGGCGTCTCGGGGGGTGTCACGGTGTGTCGGCGTCATCGGTGGGTGTCACGGTGTGTCGGCGTCTCGGTGGGCGTCACGGTGTCTCGGCGTCTCGGGGGGTGTCACGGTGTCTCGGCCGTGCGTCGGTGTGTGGCGTGCGTCTCAGTGTCTCGGTGTGTTGGCGTTTCGGTGTCTCGGCGTGCGTTGGTGTGTCGGCGTCTCGGTGGGTGTCACGGTGTGTCGGCGTCTCGGTGGGTGTCACGGTGTGTCGGCGTCTCGGTGGGTGTCTCGGTGTGTCGGCGGTATAAACCCCGCATGGCCCCGGACCGTCCCACTTTCCCCGGACTATTCTAACCAGAACCGAACCGACCCCTCCCGCGCTGACCCAAACTGAGCAGACCCGCCCGCCCTGTGCCGGCCCTGTGAGTGCATTCGCGGTTTAGTAAATAGGTGAAATATCTCTCTGGATTTGGGCCCAGCCCCTCCCCTGCCAGTTGTTACCCTGGCAACGCTTCTCAATGCCGGGCCTGTCAATCACCGCTGGCCCCGCCCACACACCTATCGTGGCGTCACCCGTGAATCACCCCCAGCCCCCTCCTGCCAACCCACGCCCGCCTAGTCACACACAGGGAGGAGTCACGCCTCGCCTCCTGATTGGACAATGCTGGCTAGCCCTAGCCAATCAGCGTGAGGGTGGGCGTGGTCAGAGCGCAGTGAGGCTCGGGCACACTGAGCGGATTAGCATTCCCGTCTGTCTCTCTGCCGGAGCGGCCGTGCTGCTGGGTCTCTGCTGTGGGGGTGGGATGCTGCTCTCTGATTGGCTGCTGGGTGCCGCAAGGTCTTCTCTGATTGGCTGCTGGGTGCCGCGAGGTCTTCTCTGATTGGCTGCTGAACTGCGGGGCAGGTATGTGCGTAGGAGGAGGGAGGGTAATGGCGGACTGTGTGAGCTGCTTCCCGCTGTGTGTGTGTGTGTGGGGGGAGAGAGAGAGAGGGACCGAGCCCGGGCGGGTATAGGGAGCCGGCAACGGAGTCTGCTGGGGGGACGGGGGAACCGGGATAACCGGGGGAGGGGGGGGTAAATAACTGCCAGCAGCATAGTAATACTGTATACTGCCCCCCAATACTGCCAGCAGCATAGTAATACTGTATACTGCCCCCCCAATACTGCCAGCAGCATAGTAATACTGTATACTGCCCCCCAATACTGCCAGCGGCATAGTAATACTGTATACTGCCCCCCCAATACTGCCAGCGGCATAGTAATACTGTATACTGCCCCCCCAATACTGCCAGCGGCATAGTAATACTGTATACTGCCGCCCCAATACTGCCAGCGGCATAGTAATACTGTATACTGCCGCCCCAATACTGCCAGCGGCATAGTAATACTGTATACTGCCCCCCAAATACTGCCAGCGGCATAGTAATACTGTATACTGCCCCCCAAATACTGCCAGCGGCATAGTAATACTGTATACTGCCCCCCCAATACTGCCAGCAGCATAGTAATACTGTATACTGCCAGCAGCATAGTAATACTGTATACTGCCCCCCAATACTGCCAGCAGCATAGTAATACTGTATACTGCCCCCCAATACTGCCAGCAGCATAGTAATACTGTATACTGCCCCCCAATACTGCCAGCAGCGTAGTAATACTGTATACTGCCCCCCAATACTGCCAGCAGCGTAGTAATACTGTATACTGCCCCCCAATACTGCCAGCAGCGTAGTAATACTGTATACTGCCCCCCAATACTGCCAGCAGCGTAGTAATACTGTATACTGCCCCCCATACTGCCAGCAGCGTAGTAATACTGTATACTGCCCCCCCAATACTGCCAGCAGCGTAGTAATACTGTATACTGCCCCCCAAATACTGCCAGCAGCATAGTAATACTGTATACTGCCAGCAGCATAGTAATACTGTATACTGCCAGCAGCATAGTAATACTGTATACTGCCAGCAGCATAGTAATACTGTATACTGCCCCCCAAATACTGCCAGCAGCATAGTAATACTGTATACTGCCAGCAGCATAGTAATACTGTATACTGCCAGCAGCATAGTAATACTGTATACTGCCAGCAGCATAGTAATACTGTATACTGCCCCCAATACTGCCAGCAGCATAGTAATACTGTATACTGCCCCCCAAATACTGCCTCCCCATAATAGTAATGCTATATACTGCCCCCTCCCGCCATAATAGTAATGCTGTATACTACCCCCCCATAATAGTAATGCTGTATACTGCGCCCCCCCATAATAGTAATGCTGTATACTGCACCCCCCCCCCACCCCCATAGTGATAGCTCCATAGTAATGCAATAAACTGCTGGGTAGTGCTGTACTGGTACCTCCTCTGGGTAATGCTATACTGGGGTACATCCCTATAGTGAAAGCTGGCTAATGCTTTATACTGGGGGTACACCCCTATAGTGATAGCTGGCTAATGCTTTATACTGGGGGTACACCCCTATAGTGATAGCTGGCTAATGCTTTATACTGGGGGTACACCCCTATAGTGATAGCTGGCTAATGCTTTATATTGGGGGTACAACCCTATAGTGATAGCTGGCTAATGCTTTATATTGGGGGTACACCCCTATAGTGATAGCTGGCTAATGCTTTATATTGGGGGTACACCCCTATAGTGATAGCTTGCTAATGCTATATATTGGGGGTACAACCCTATAGAGATGGCTGGCTAATGCTATATACTGGGGTACCCATCATAATAATAGTGATAGCCAGGTAATGCAATATACTGGGGGTACCCCCCCATAGTGATAGCCAGGTAAGGCTATATACTGGGTTCTCCTTAAATGTGTATTGGGGATCCAAGTGATTTACCTGTTCTAACAGGACATGCGTGTATTTTGTACTGTCGCCATGTGATGGGAAAGATCTGTAACCGGCTTTATGTAGCTATGTAAGTAAGGGAGAGAGTGATGCTTTATCCTTCTGAAATACAGCACTTCAGAACCGGCTTATAGTTATGCAGCTCGCCCACGTTCTCTTTAATGAATTCTGTATCAGTACAGTTTTGGTACCCTCTGTAATCATTCAGAATCTCTGTCCTTAGAATCAGGGATGGCAACATTCCCCTAAAACATCTTTTTAAAAAGTGGATGTTTTTGTGATCTTCTTTAATTTTTTTTTTTTTCCCTTTCTACAACTCCTGTCACTCTCAGCAAAACTTAACCAATATGGGAATTGTCCTTATCTTGTTACCACAATCCCCTCTGAACCTAGAGCTGAGATTTAAATGGGCACAGTTTTGAATAATGCTGTCTTGGCACTCCATAGCAGTCACTGAAATTGAAACTGTGATGGACCGACTGGCACCCCGGCTGGGGAATTGCTGCTTCCTTAGTGGTTATGTTTAGGGTAAGCAGGAACTCGTTTTATTGGTGCCACAACTTGCCTCATATGCAAGTCCCCATGCAAGGGGCACTCCCCCGTTGACCTGAGAGTAAACCATAGTAGAAACAAATACACTATTACATTGACTCTCACGTCCAGGACACTCCTATACATAATGAGACAATCCCTCCCCTGTGCCTAGGAGATAATTGAGTCATGGACTGTACTAACTCAATTATCTCCAGGCAGAAAAATACCCCAGAGGTACTCATAAAACCCATGCAAACCCCATTATAGTCATATCTCCTGATAGCCCTGTTCTGGGGGACCAACATATCTAAAAAATCACCCAGATCGGCTCAGGATTTCTATGGTATTCTTGTTTTGCCCGACCGCACATGAGGCCTATGCCCAAAAGAGTTCCATGAATTCAGGCTCTGCGGTTGGTCTATTTCGTGAATACGAAATAGTCAAAATACCGAACGTAGTGGTTGGTGGGTAGGTTCAGTCTATATCTCTAGTTTGGGAGCTTGCTCCCACCGAACGCCGCTCTTCCCATACAAATCCAGCCGAACATACGTAGGGATGGAAGTCCCAACGGTGTTTGCGCCGTCGAGTGTCTGATTATAGTTCCATGCACTCGACGACCAAACACCCCTGTATGTATTCGCGGCTAAAGATGGCCGCCGCCACGTGTTCACACATACCAATGACTGCCACCCAGCTAACCACTTAGAACGTTGCGGTTAGTGAGGTCAGTGGGGTTAATAAGCGGCACACGATTGTTCTGGGTGGTCGGTCCGTTCGACAGTTCGTTTGGTATACGAACAGCATTAGTCCGATCCGTTCGGCAAGCACCAAATACTGAACCATACAGTATAAAAGGCACGAACAAAGCCTTGTCATAGTCCTGAACCAAAGTCTAACACATGGGCCATAGTCCAGAGGCAAGAGGCTGGCAAGCAGGCCCCTCCAAGAACCAGTGGCGAGGTTACTTGCACTACAGGAGCCTATTTTTAAAGGTGCCATTCTAGCTGCATAATTTTAATGCACATCATACTCCCTACAAGGGTCTAGTATGTTCCTTCTCAAAATGCATTAAAAGTGTAGGTCGCCCTGTGTTTGTGACCTCATCGCACCATTATTTGTGGTGACATGCACAAAGGAATGCTTCTGGGGCACACCACAATTATTAATATGGATCCATGACCAATAAGGGAAGAGATGCTGTGTTTTGTAAATTGATGGGAAGGAGGCAGACCCTTAATATCATCCTTTAATGGGCTAGACAATGTTAACAATGGGAGTTAAGTGTATATTACCAAGATGTAGATATATTCAAAGTAAAAGGTCATAAAAAGTGTGATATGATTGATGGATTTTGCAACTCAATGCGTCTGAAGTGTCTTAATCTACATTTTTTGCTTTGTAGACCAATGTTGGCCAAGGGGACCAAGAGGAAATACTCAGAGGTGGAAGGAGAGATGAGATGCAGCCCTGACATCATGGTGGGCTCAAATCAAAGCTCCCTGCCAGCAGTGCAGTCCCACTGTTTGATGAACATTTCTTTAGTCAAGCTCCACCGCAGTCTTCATCACGTAGAACCCAACTTGAGACATCTTGTATTGGTGGCTAACACCTTACGACGTCTACAAGACAACATGCACACAGAACCCATGCCTTGTGATGACACCAGCAAGAAGGATCATGTCCAGGTGTTTGGTACTGAAGGCAAGAAGCCAGCTTCAGAGAGTACAGGAGAAGATGCCTTGTTTTCCTTAATGGATTCCTCCCTATATTCTTCCATTACCACCATACTAGAGGACTCAAACAATTTTCAGAATTTTACTAGCTCACCACTTCCTCAAATAGAAGATGATCAGCTTTGTTCCCTAAAGGACTCCAGGGACGGGAG